CGCCAATGCCTCGTGGATGATGATCAATGAAGGCATGTCCGATAACTCAGACTCTTTCCTTCAACCACCCATCTTGCTGACGTTTTAATAGGTGCTGGTTGGAAGCAGCTATGTCTCCTCTGCCCGGTCATGATCATACGTCCAGTTCCACAGCCTCTTCGGACGGCAAAGGGGATACAGATTCAGCAGCGAAAGGAGGAAAGTCAACGAAAAGGACGGGTCCTAGCTATGGTGCGCCCTATCCCGAAAGCTCTACTGCTGGCTTGGATGGCCTAATTTACGTGTGCAGTATATTACCGTCTATACACCAAACTCGGTGCATTTGAATCGAATCACGCCCTCTACCACAACGACCCTTTCATTGGCCGCATTCCGTCGAAATTGTTTTCCCCTCCCCATACGGTGGCGTCTATCAAGCGGTCCCTCTGCAAATTTGAGGGCCTTTCGGAGCCCGACAAGGCGCTTGTTTTCACACCGCTCTCAAGCCCAGCACTCAAAGAAGACTCTGCCCGCCTCTCTTTGAAAGCTCCTTCTGGGCCAGGGCTGTCTGAACATGATCCGATTGCGTTGATTGTCGAGTCGGAGAAGCGGACCAAGGAGGTCATGCAGTCGGAGAAATTGCCGGAACGCTCTGATGATACTGATGTCCACTACGGCAAGTCTTGCCGACGTCTCCTACCCAAATACTGCACTCATCAACTTTGCAGTATACTATCGTGTTTACTCATCAGAAGGAGAAGGAGATGAAGAAAAGGCAAAGACGTCCTTTGACGAGAGTGACATGTCGTTAGGGCGCATCAACGCCGTCTTCATCGCTCCCCCTCATACCGCTGGGTCATTGAAAGCATGCATCGCAAAAGCTGAAGGCCTCGTCACGCCCGGTCATGCACTCTACAAGGACATGGAGCTCTTCCAAGACATGACTAGTGACGCTGCCATGAACGACGCCGACATCATATCCTTCCAAGGTGACGCTTATCCGGGTAGCGATGAAAGCGATCCCGTAGCCCTTGTCAATGCAACCACCACTACAGCAACGGACCAAAAGGCTAAGCCTACATCAGGTAAAGTTCTCGGCAGATATCCACTAGACACTGCAGCAACAAACCGTGCTCTTTCAGATGGACCAGATTCAAAATTCACAAAACGCGCTCGGTTACTCTATACTCTCGGTGAGTAACAGTCCCTGATATACTCCGATTCTCATTATATAGGATCCCGCCGCAGGCAACAATAAAGAGGCTTCTGCCTGGCTATCAGGCAACAAAGATGAGATCGTTTACACGGATGAAGTTCGTGTCTCCAAAGTTTACTTGATCCACGGCGGTATTTCTTTCCTTTTCTGCTTCGTCACAAGTTTGTTGATGCTTTGTCGGCTCAGTGAGTTATGAAGGAAACATGGCGATCAATTCCAAGGGCGAAAAAGGCTGTGAGTCTCCAATTTGCCTTTGGGTTACTAGGTGGTTATTGATTTTCTTTGGCAGTTGTGTTTAAGGGTGAGTGGTCTCCTCCCTCTGTTGGAGTATTTGATATCCACCATTTTGCTAGGGAATCTTGCTTATGATTGATTGGTGCATATCTGAGAGGGTGTATGCTTTTGGAATGGGATTTGTTAGGATTTAGGCTTGGCAGAAGGGGTCGATGTACTGGTACCGTAGATTTGTTGTATATATGTGACACAAGAAATGAGGATCTGATCCAGACATCGCAACCTGCAATGCCAACTCGGACGTTTGAGTTTTCAAACAATCAGCGCTGTTCAAAGATTCGAACGATACATAAGGTAAGTATAAGTAAGAGATATACACGAACAAAACCCAAAACGCTTGTATATACACCCACTCATTTATTCATTTCCTCGTCAGCATCAGTCAAAAAGAGATCGTGAAAAAAGTCGTAAGTGTCATCAAAGTCATAGAACCGCAAAGCGTCTCCCGCCCTCAAAGTCAACGCTACCTCCTCCCCCTCCTCCTCAACCAACTCCAAATCCCAAACCCAGTCAACCTCCTCACAAGCACCTTCAACACAACGGCACACACGCCAATGCCCACGAGAACGAGGTAACTCGCCCGTCCGCCTGTCGATAGGTATAGATCGCGCCGGGCTTCCCAGTCGCGTCGGGGTCTTCTCTGAGGGGTGGTGGTGGTAGTGGATGAGCTTGAATTCGGGTTGGAGGAGGAAGGAGAAGAACTTGGGATAGAAGAAGCAAAGAGGAAAGGTGTCTTGTCGCCTAATACACGAAAGACCACAGACCGAAGAAGAGTGATGGGCCATGAATTCGATAAAGTCAACGCGTTGGGAGCACCAACTTGAGGAGAACGTGTTTCCTCGAACTCTTGAACCCGCTTAGAACGTTGTTCAAGCTCGGATCCTCTCTGATCGAGCGCCCGTCCTCGCTCATCAATAGCTTGCTCCAATTCCGCGACCTTCTCTTCCCTCCCTTGTAGCTCTCGCTCCCTCCCCTCCACCTCTTTCTCCCTCCTTTCAACCGCCTCCTCCCTCTTCCCAACCGCCTCCTCCATCCTCTCAACCGCCTCCTCATGTCGCTCAACAGCCTCCTCACGATACCCAACACCCCTCTGCACCTCCCCAACCCTCTCCTCCATCCCCTCAATCCTCTCCTGTCTAGCTGCCAGGGCAAGCTCACGTTGGTCTAGCGCTTCTTGGCGGGTTGTGAGGAGGTCGTGTTCTGTTGTGGGGATGTGCGAGTCCAGGGTGGAGGGTGGGCCCAAACCCAGAGCTGAAGCATCTCCAGACGCGAGCTCATGTTGGTCTTCTTGGCGTGTTGTGCAGAGGGCAGTGAGGTCGTGCTCTAACGGCTTTAGGACGTCTTGTTCTGTTGGGTGGGAGTGCGCGCCCAGAGCTGAAGGATCATCCATATCTCCAGACCCCACTAACGCTCCTCGAGGCGGCTCAAGATCAAAAACGCTCCATAAATCCGGTTTCCTCTCCTCTAGGTCTCCCACGTCTTCCATTTTCTTTTCCTTATCCCCCTCATTCGCGTTTGGTTTCTCTTCTTCGTCTTTCGCGGTCCCTTTCCCTTTCCCTTCTTCTCCAGTTTTCTCCCCAACAGATTGACCCCCCTCACCACCACCACCAACCCTCACACGAACCAAGTTCCTCCCCCTGCCCGACCTAACAACCCCACGGGGATCAGCAGCAGCAGACCCAGCATGCTTAACAGTCTCACCCAACTCCAACTCCCACGCCTCTGCTCCCTTTACCGTTACGGGGTGTGTGTGTGCAGGAGGGTGGGAGAGGAGGAGGTCCTTCATGCTTGGTTCGTCTTCGTCCCCACCTTCGG